ACCGCAGCGACGCGCCTCAGCCCCCACGGGCGCGACGGCGTTGACACCACGGGAGTGAGGAACAAAGCCCGGCCCTGTGGGTCACGGTGACTCAAGGGCAGGGCGGCGACATCGCCGGCCCACAGCCCTGTCTCCTAGGCAGCGGGACTGAAAACTTGGCTCACCTCCGGCCGGAGTTGCAGGCCGGTGCCTCCCCTCCACTCAGCGCCTCAGCCGCCATCTTCCGCGGCAGTTGGGTCCGCTGCCCCGCCTCAGACTCCGCCCCCGAGTCCCGAGATTGGTTAATATATTCCCTCGACCCACGTACGATTGGACGGACCTATGTCCCCGCCTACAGATGAGCAGTTCCATCCTACTATTGGTCTATTCAAATATCTAACTGTCATTGGCAGCACAGAGCAAAAGAAAGGGTGGGCGAGAGACTGTCCCGAGGCCTGCCGGGAGATGTAGTTTCTCGTTTAGATTAACCCTCGTAATTGAGCCGACTTTTAGGATCTATTCAGAAATACCAGTCTACACTTTCCACACACACTCCAATAGGTAAAATCTAAGAGATTCAGAACTGTTGAATTTTTGAAAGTGACTTTAGGGGCATGTGAAGCCCTGCCCATCTCAGTTGTGTAGGCAGTTAAAGGTTGCCAGCTGGGGAGGGCTCATGACCCCCTCACTCCCTTCTTACCCAGGAACTCTAGATTGTAAGAGGGAAGAAAAGACATTTTTTTCAGTGGTATATAGGCAGTGGCTGCACATGTTCCTGCAAGCAACCCTAAGTAAACTTATTGAGACACACACACTAATAAAACGTTGATTCTCTGAAATGCAAGAGTGAGGCCAAAAATGTTAACCACGTACAGTGGGTCCCATATCTTCAACCTTGTTTCCAGAACCAAGAGCAGATCTAAAACTTTCAGGGTAGAAGTTAAGCAAGATCTATAGTGAATGTATACAGACCTTTTCCTTCTTGTTATTCCCTAAGCAATGCATTTTAAAAAGCTATTTATGTAGCCTTAGGCATTATAACCTAGACATGATTTAAGTATAAAGAAGGAATGAGTAAAAAAAAAAATAAAAAATAAAAAAAAATAAAAAAAAGAAGGAATGAGTAGGTTTTAAGCAAAAACTATGTCTTAGTTAGGGTTAACTGTGATGAAAGACCATGACTTAAGGAGGAAAGAGTTTGTTTGGCTTGCACATGACTGTTGATCATTGAAGGAAGTCAGGACAGGAACTCAAATAGGGCAGAAACCTGGAGTTAGGAGTGTTGGCAATTCATGACAACTCAAGCAGCAGGGAAGGCTTTCCCTGAGGTGAGCACATACTCCCTTCAAACCGTTGTTATACTTTGTAAACTTTGTGAGGTCCTGTGCCCTAGGCTTCCCTAACTGCACTATCCATGATTTCCTAAAAGAGAGAGTGGCCAGGCTCCACCCTACAGGAAAAAAAAATCCCACCAGTACCTGAGCTGGCCCCAAAATCAGGACACATAATCCCTCCAATCCCAGTCCACCCTGGAAAGCCTACTTCCTATCTTCAAGAAACCCTATATAAACCTGTGTTCTGCCCAGTTCTCTGCAGCTTTTCGCCCAAGCAGAGGTAGCCACCTTCCTGGGTTCTTCTCTCTCAATAAATGTCTTGTGTGAAGTTGGCTGTATGGTGTGACTTTATTGTGTTCTTTGGCTCCCAACTGCCAGGATACCTTTCCATCTGAGCTTACAGGCTTACCTACAGGCAGGTCTTATGAAGGCACTTTCTCAAATGAGACTCCCCCCTCTTCAATGACTCTAGCTTGTGTCAAATTAACAAAACAAGCAAGCCAGTATACTTTAAAGATGTGTTGACCTCTGAGTGGAACCCAGGACATGTGTTACATTGGGGAAGAGGTTTTGCTTTTGTTTCCACAGGTGAAGAAAAGCTAAGGATACCATCAAAATTGATAAAGATACAATTTAAATAAGACACCTCTTAATTAGAAAAGATGATCATTCATCAAGCATGGCCATTTAATCTAAACTAATCCAAAAACTAACAAATGCTTTTCATTTGATCAGATAGAACTTGACAAAAAAGAACCTTTCCAAAATTTAGGGTTGGGGAAGGGTTTTATTTTTGTCTTTTCAGGAGAATAAAGGTATCCAGCTAAGGAATCCAGAGACCACTGGACAACTGAGACATCTGAAGAAAAGGGACAAATAATCCAGAAAAATTGTCCCAAGAAAAGAAGTAAACTGGCCTATTGATAGATCATATTTCCAACAGGATAAAATTCCATAAATCTTCCCAAATGTTTGTTTCTGGTTTTCTCTACAGACATATGGTACAAATGACTGTTTTGCAGTCCAATTAAAGATTAAAGCTAGCTTTGGAGTTGGAGTATGGTTCTATCCTTCTCTAAACCCGTGTTAAGGAAAAGTCTAAAATCTTGTCTCATGTCAGAAGAGACACACAAATAATCAAAGGACTACTGTATTGACACTAATCTCATAATCCTTTGGTTTTATATTAACTTTTTACAGCTTTTCATAAAGCATAAGTATTATATTTATATAAAAATTTATACGATTTATATATGTATTTTAAAGTTTTTGTCATGATATTAATGGTCACATAGAGTGCTAACTAGTTCTAGAAAAAGGTTTCCTCTACCTTCCTGTGTGCGATTTCAAGTTTGAGTCTCTACCAGTTTTCTGCAGTGAACTATGATCACACCTAACAGTGACCTTTGAAGTCTCCAAAAGGAGGATGGGGCCCCAAAATGACAATTTCACCAGGACTATCACAACACCACTATGCTGAACAACATCAACTAAAGATCGGCTTTGGACTACAAACTACTCAGAACAGTTTCAAGGAGATCAGCTCAGATGATCCAGCCTCACAGACTACTTTAGCCAGGACTTGAGACGAGCCCTGTACTTTCCCGTTGGGCTTAGACAGGACAAAAATGATACAGCTTGACAGTTAGCCCAAATTTTACTTTTCAGAACCCCCTAAAAATGCCATCATCCCTAGACAGCAGGAAGTAACTTTAAGAACACGATGCCCACATTCCCAAGAGATGGGTTGGGTGGTATTTGGTCACTCTTGGGTTATGGATACTTGTCATTGTTTAGGGGGATTGGTTAAAAAATGTTGTTGGGCTGGGCATTGGTGGCGATGCCTTTAATCCCAGCACTCAGGAGACAGAGGCAGGCACATCGCTGTGGGTTCAAGGCCAGCCTGGTCTCCAGAGCGAGTGCCAGGATAGACTCCAAAGCTACACAGAGAAACCCTGTCTCGAAAAACCAAAATAAATAAATAAATAAAAATGTTGGTTACAATCAGGAAGAAAGTTGAACAAAGGGTATTAGATTCAAGGTTTTTGTTTTGAAAAAAAAAAGGATATAAATATGATAGGATAAAAAGGGTAGATTATTGAATCTACTCTGAAAAGAAAAAAGGGAAGAAACATATATAAGATAGAATGGTAGATTATTGAATATATTTTTAAAAAGCAACTACTAGTTTTAAATATTTTAGATTGGATTGGACTTCCGTTTTTGTATACAGATATTGTATATTAATACAAATTTGAGATTAATTTTGTTAAAACATACTGTACATATATTTCTAATATTGCTCAAGGTATTGTACCTGTACAGCTCATTTAACAATGTATTGCAAATTCTAGTCCTTGAAAGTTATTATTACTTACTATACAAGATAATAATGAAATGTAGGTTAGTAATTAGTCACCTATTACAATTGAAATCGTAGTCACATTAGGTATGTTTTCAAGCTCAAACAGAGGTATATTTTAGGAATATAGGTCATCTTCAGAAACTTCAGAGATCTACAGAATATGGCATTTAAGATGTTTTAATAACGTAAGTATTTTTTATGACAATGAGACATGTCTGCTCCTGGCAATACCAATCTACTACTGAGAAGACAATGGATATTAAAGAAACTCCACATGGAGTTTACTTTCTTTGTGGCAAAAGTAGCCATTGGGCAAGAAAGTGCCCTTGCCTCAACTGATGACAGTATGCTGTCCAAATTGGACAAACAAGATACAAAAGAGAATGACTGCAAAACCTTGCCAATCCAAGGCAGGACAGTCCTTCAGAATATCCCACTTCACAGAAATTTTTGTCAGAGATGCTTGACTTATAGGCCAACGATAGATGTCCCAACACTGCAGAGGAACCTTGGGTGACTGTCCAGGCAGCCAGCTGTTTCTGTCAGTTCTCACATTTTTTAGAAGTCACTTGCTCACGCTTCTCAATTACTCAGTTAATATTATTTCCTTCTTGGGTCTTGAGAGAGTTGAAGATTAGATAGTTACAGTTATAGTTTACTAGACTCAGAAAAGAAAACTCACTAAAGAAATGTAAAATATATAAGGTTGAGAGACATTAAAAGATAATTTGATAATGCAAATTAGAATAAAAAGTAAATTAGGTACAAGACTTTGGACTCACCAAGATAGAATAGATAATGAAGTATTTTCTCTGAATTTGTCAAATGCGAATGGACTAGACATTATTAATGTACTTATCACTTGTATATATTGTATATACTTATTATACCTATTGTATATAGTTTTTCTTATGTTTAGTTGTGGCCTTCTTTCTGTATTAGACAAAAAAAGGGAAACTGTGGTGATACACTGTTTATGACCAAAATGCAAAGCCAGCCACACTAGTTAGCTACAGAAGCTCCGCAGTGGTGGCACACACCTTTAAACCCAGGATTCAGGAGAGAAAGTCAGATGGATCTCTGTGAGTTCAGAGCCACCCAGGGCTACATTAGAGTGAATCAGTCTAAAAGAGAATTAGAGCTCATGCCTTTAATCTCAGCCTTAAAGAGGTATATAAAAGGCAGGAGCCCAGTGTCTCACATGGCATTCTGAGATTTAGTCTCCAGCCACGCTGAGGAGCGGCAGCAGTCTGAGACTTGATGGAGAGCTCATGGAGACAGGATCAGCCCTATTGGCCTGAGGTAGAGGTAAGAGCTAGTGGTTTAGCTGCTTTGCTTTTCTGATCTTCAGCTTGAAGCTTGAACCCCAATATCAGTCTCTGGGTTTTTATTTTTCATGTTACATCTTGTAAAATAACAGTGATTCTCACAGGGTTGTTTCCAAGATTAAGTGTGATTATCCTGAAAAGCTGCTTAGCAACACAGTGTCTTATTGAAATAAGATCAGTGTTTGAAACGACACAAGGAATATTTAGAATGCTACCCTGCCTCCTGAGAGAACACATCTCTCTCCCTGAAGAGAAGACCACC